CTAGGTATTCACGAAATGAAGCTATTGGGCCGCTCAGAACTATTGGATCTCGATTTTCGATGAGAAGTTAGCACCCCATTTTTAAAAAATTGTTTAAAAATACTTATTAAGCGGAACTCTTGTTATAAATTATATAGAACTCTTTGTCTCGTCAAAAAGAAACGGGAACTCTATTCAGAACTCCTGAGTACTATAGTTGGGGTGCTAACTTCACATACCCCCATCAATTATGAAAATAATGTAGATTATATAGAAACTGGATGCTTTCCAGCAAGAGACATAGATAACACAGTGTAACACAAGTAAATTATTATTTCATCTTTGTTTAACATTTAGCAATGCTATACTGTGTGATCTGTGTTTCTTGTTGGAAAAGACATCCACTATTACTGTTGTATTTACTATAATACACATGCTTCTCGAATGTGTATAACAGTTCATGAAGCGCATACAAAGTTAAAAAAAATCTTTCCTTATTCCAGATGTCTCATGATCATCATATAATGAATAGTACAGAAAACGCATCCCACGGTATGCACATGGCTCATCATAGTATAGACCATGGTATAAACCGTGGTAGTATGGATGATGGCAGTATGAACCATGGAGGTATGGACTATGGGAGCATGCATCACGGTATCGAGACTTCGACGGACAGCATATGCAGCGGCATGGACATGCACGGTATGTCGGTACGTATAATCTAGTTGTTCAAGACTTGATGCCGTTAATGTACAGTCTACTCTCCGCGATCCTCAGATGACGTTCCACACCGGCTACTGTGAGGTGGTGTTATTCGAAAATTGGAAGATCTCATCGATAGGCGGTCTCATCGGTTCGATGATTGGTATCGCTATTATGGCTGCGCTCTATGAGGGCTTAAAATATTATCGGGAGTATCTCTTCTGGAAGACGTACAACGCCTTGCAATACAGGAGCGTTACGGTACCCAGTGAGAAGAATGTGGTAGCCGAGGACAACCGGGTCGTTCAGTAAGTTGTTCAATTCTTTTCGGGTGATCTTGTAAAAAGCATTATTTCCCATTGTTTTCGCAAAGAATATTTATTAATATAATTTTACTATGTGTAAAGAGAGAGAAAATGCTAGATATAATGCTAGAGAGTGGCATCTTAAGAGATATCATAAGAGCATATTGTAATGAATACATTTAAAAATCAAGACGCGATATTTTTTGCAGGATCACTGTGAATATAAATGATACGTATAGCTTTTATATTATAAATTTAATCATTTGATCTGCTTTTTTAGTATGGTTGGCGAAGTAATCCACAAACAACCGTAAGTATAGATCTTATGATACACTGAGATTTTCTCTCAGAATTATGCTTTGTCTATTAACAGTTGTATTATTTAATTGATATGAATCAATTTGTGAATAGCAACAATAGTAACAATTGTTTATATTTTGTTAAATAATTCTTACATTATTAAAACGTGTGCATGATATATCTTCTTAATAGATTTCTTAATAGATCCTTTGCTGGGCGTAAAAAATGTCATTTTCAACATGTATAAATGTCATTTTCACTTAGTATCATAAGTTCCTTTATCTTTCAATTAGAAATTAGATGTTTCTAGTGGGATATGTGCATGCGTATTCATGTATTACTTTCACAAATAATTTTTACTACATATTACGAGTACTTACTAAACAGCTCAGTCTCTAATTGATTTTAAATGTTATGCTATTCTTTAAATAATAAAACAATACTTAATAATTAATAAAATTGAGTTATTCAGAACAAATAAATATTTGTTATCTATGTCGAAAATTATATCTCACTAAATATATACATATATGTCCATATATGAATACATATTTTAAATTAATTTTAATATAATATAATAATATTTTAATACTACACAATATAATTTAAATAAACTGTATAAAAAAATTATCTGCTTTTCACTTTGTATAATATGGTTTTATGCTACAAATGAATAGATGTCACAGAAATTTGTAAATTAACTTTTGAATTTTGCATGTTTTTGCTATTTTAACCTTTAATATACACGACTGAGTCATTCGTGGTCCCGCGCATTTTTTTCATATTAAAAGCACCAAATTATTAGTTTTAACATTTATATACATATAGACAATTTTTTTAACACACACAATCTTAAAAATACTTTCTAAAGATGTTAAAGTATATGTATATAAGACTTAATAATTTTTATAGAAGTATTTTTATAAAAATAATGGAAATTAACCCGAGACACGATCGACCCATCGTCGTGTGTAGTAAAAGAATGCAAAATCGTTATGTGTTGTAAGGGTTAAATGAATTTGGACATAATGAGCCATATTAATCTGTGCAGGCCGACTATGATGTCCTGGATGCATCTGTTTCAAACATTTCTGCACATTATACAAATCGTCCTGTCTTACTTTTTGATGCTAATCTTCATGACTTATAATGTCTGGCTGTGCTGTGCCGTGATATTGGGTGCCGCCATTGGTTACTTCCTGTTCGGTTGGAAGAAATCAGTGATCGTAGACGTTACGGAACATTGTCATTAACATTTAGTAAATTGCTCTGGTTTACTCCTTTTAAACTGTTTTTTGCGCGAAAGTACGCGCACGACTGCATTCTGGCGGAAATGTAAAAAAAATAAGAGGAGGGCGGAGATTAAACAGTTACGTTGTCTTCTGCGAGAAACGAGGTATAGAGAATCAATGTTTTCTAAATTCATGACACACAGTGAATACATAAATGCAGCAAACAGGCGAGAACTATTTATTCTATATGTATAGTGTTCTATAATTTAACTTTTAGTATCTCTTCTAATTTCTTACTTTTATTTTAAAAGAAAATAAGCTAATTATTCTTAAGTTATCTTTGATCAAATATTTTAAATAATTTTATTATGAAATCTATGTATGTATAAATGAAGATTTTATTTAAATGATTATATATAGTGCGACTCGCTTTTGTGTCATGAAATACAACTTCATAAGAAATCGTTGGGAGCTTGAATCTTAGAGACGTATATAAATATGATAAACTGTAAATATTATTAAGAGATTCATATAAGAATACACTGTCCAGTGTGCACACTTTTCCCCATTTTTATACTTTTACTATTTGTTTTTATTGTTACTCTTTTATAAAAATATTCGTTATAAAAATGAGCGATATTTAATATTTGGGAAAGAGTGTACTATACTATTTTAAATAATTGTAAAAACATACCATTATAATATATTATATAACGTATTATAGCGTGTTATAATACGTTGACATGTAAATTGCATGTAAAGTATAAAAAATACAGCCTCAAATGCGAAAAAAAGAGAAGGAAGTTTAAAAAGATAAAGGAGAGTATTATAGTTCCTTTTTTCTCTTTAATTCCTGTGTTATAAATTATTGTTTTATTCTTATTACTTATTATATTATTTATCGGTGTTCATTTAAATATTTTTACAAAATATTTAGACGCGTTAATAGTGACCGAGAACATTTTTTCATAAAAAAAGGATATATTAATCGAATTACAAGAATATGATAATTCTTAAACAAGCTCAATAGAAGTTTTTTTTCTTGCAAAATCGATTCCTAGAATTATAAAATCTTAAGGCATAACGCGCACGCACGCACACACACATTTATGTATGTATATATATTTTACATAGGTTATGTACATACGGGAAGTGGCCTTGTTTATTAAACATGTAAAAATAATAAATAACAATTGATACACGCCTTTTTCACAAATAAGACTTTTATATATATGCAGCAGTGTATCCTTTAAAAATAATTCATAGATTTTATATAAAGATTTGGCGTAAGAATGCCTAATTTATGGTAATAATGAGGTGGTCGACACCTTGATATGATTAGTTTTATACACTTAACATTTTAACTATTATTATCATTCTATGCTGTATTATAAATTTATATATTCCATATATAGAGTATGGTCAACGCGATGTTACAATTGCTTTAAGGGGATCCTAAAGCAAAGTTCGAACTCCGACGAAATCGCTAGACGAAGTTGCACCGCACGCGACACATCGATATGTTTTTTTATACTACCACAGCAATATCTCACGCAGTCACACATACGTGTCAATTTTCGTACAACGAATTCGTCGCGATAAAGCGTCTAAATCTAATTCTAAGAACTCGACGTTGTATGTTCGTGCAAATTACGTGTTTGAGAACTATTATTTCGTACGTTTGGGTTGCAAAGCTTTCATATCAAGCAAATGTTGTCACGACTTGTCAGCTGAGACGCCATGTTACACTAAGAAATGGTAAAAAATATATCGATTTCGAAATTTTTGATCATTCTCAGCGTAGACTCCACTTCACAAACACGTATTAATGCGTATACTTCAATCCTGGAAAAGGATTTTCGAATCCGTGAAAGAGAAAAAGAGTATTCGTTATACAAAAATTATACGTGTTTAGTCGGTAATACAGACGTCTTTAGGATCCCCTTAGGGGATGCTAAACCGATTACCGAACTCGATCAAGGTCGTTAGTGCAGACTTTTTAAATTCCAAATTCGATAATAATGGTGACATCTTTGATTCAGTTTTTATATTATATTATATAATATATACTATTCTGTCTTACTCAAACACATACATCTGTTCTTATCTAATATATGACAGCACCATCTATCGCAAGACCGCGCAACTACTGCTACACGGAATTTCGGCTCTGTTGACAGTCCCAGTCTTCACAAAGCACCTGTTTACACGTATTTTCTATTCGGTGGAAATATTTCTTTTCTAGACTTTCAATCTTAGTTCTACAAACTCGGTATCGTTTGTTTCAATAATGTGACCTCAGCTGTACGCTTATTTTCAAGATATGGACTTTAAAACTCTTATATCAAGCAAATATATATCTGAGGTGACAGCTGTACGAGCTAAAAGTAAGTGAATTTTGATGAATCTGAAACTTTTTTTCGATTTTTTCATGAAATCCAGTGCAGCTGAGGTCCTGTTTGTGCGTACTTTAATTTAAGCAATAATACTTTTGCAATCCGTACATCCAATACAGAGATTTTTCACCGAATGGAAATGTGGTAAAACAGAAGGCTTTAGCATCGCCTTAAGGCTCCTGACTACTTAGCCAAGAACTTTACGTTGACGGTGGCGACATAAAATCAGACGGCAGTCTGGCCAAACCGGTAGCCACACACTCAAGCACGAGCCCATGTCCGTGTGCTCGCCTGCACACGTACATGGGCTCGTGGTTGTATGTGTGTTACAGCGCCGCATGATGATAAATGACCGAACTTACAGGCGTGGAAAAGTGACGTTTTGACGACGAAATTTATATTGCATGCCATTTCGTTATTATTTGCTTAAGGGGTATGGCCACCCTAGAATTTTCAAAAAATCGAAAATTTTTTTTGCTTTTTCGATACTTTATTATCACAAAAATAAGTAGCAATTAAATTTATAACGAAAAAAATGAGCTGAGCGTTTGCTGAGTGCTATGAGCGCTTGCACATAACGCAAGCTGAGCGCTTGAACTTTAAACGAGTTTTTCTCAAAACAACAGATAATAAATAATTTTAATGTCACAAATAATAAAAAATCTAATATTGATGTAATGAAAGGGAAAATAAAATGGTTTTCCATTCCGTACATCGAAGGTATCTCGAATAAATTTAAAAACTTCATTAATGGTATGGTTCATAAAGTTTCGTTTTTTAGTGTGAACAAATTAAATAAATTTATTCGAGTGCATAAAGATTCTTTACCAATCGAATCAAAAAGAAATGTAGTTTATAGGATCAATTGTTGCGATTTCTTATGTCGGTCAAACAGATAGAAAACTAAAAACTAGGATCTCGGAGCATAGGAAGCATATTAACAGCACAACGTCGTCAAAATCAGTTATTACAGACCATAGGTTGCAGTGCGAACATGATTTCGATTGGGAGAACGTTGAGGTTCTGGATACTGAGGGATTCTATAATAAGCGTCTAGTGTCAGAAATGATACATATAAAAAGACAAAAAAATGAGCTGAATTTGCAAAACGATACCGTAGTTTTAAATCAGGTTTACATGGAGTTAATTGACAAACTATAAGATGTGTCTTTCATATGAGTGAGACTTGTTGTTTTCATCTATATTCGGTGCTTTTGAATGGTTAACCGCAATGTTTTGAAATTCTTTTATTATTTGACCGAACTCAGTACTGACTAAAACTCATGAATCTTCTCGAGTTTTCTTTGTTTAAAAAATTTGTATTTGTCGATGATTCTAGACACTGAATTCTTTGTAATATTGTGAGAAATGTACTCTGTGTGAAATGTGTATGGTGGACATGCGAGGTGAGCTTGATCATCATGTGAGTAGCCCGTTTACGATATTCAAAAAACGAATTTTAATTGTAGTTTGAGTTGCTCATCACCACTCAGCTGTGAAACTGATTGAATATGGGTCTCACTTCATGATTAGCCATGGCATTGCATGCAATAGTTTGGAGATATTATTTTGCGATGCAATATCTCTTCGCAGTGCGTTTGATGGATGGATGGAATTGCTGAAGATGACTCGAATTTGAGTTGAAACGTTCAAGGGTGATATGTGGATTAAATAATATATTTGATCTTTGTAAAAGTTATCGCTTAATATATCCAGCGTTGACTCCTATAGCCTTTATATTAGAAATTATTATTTTCTTTGTTAATTAAAGGAGTTCATAACCACTTATTGTGGCTCGATTTGTGTTTTTGTTAATTATATCAAAACAACATTTTTCAAATCGGCATGACAAATAACTTCAATAATTTCTATCCGAATGGGTTCAAATTTTAACTACAACTTCTTAGACGCATTTCGCAGAGAAGTACGTAGAAGTTTTTTGATATGTAAAAAACTTTTTATTTTATGAACAGTTTTTGAACAAAATTTTTAGCAAAAAATGCAAGTGTGACTTCAAATGCTTGTCATTCTTGAAAATATCAATATTTTTACAAACCCCTACGTACTTCTTTAGGTATTTTAATGTACATTAAAACAAATTTTTTTTTGTTTTAGGTCAAAATTTGTGAATGTTAAATGTCATACCCCGGAGCACCTCCATAAAAACCGTGCTAGATTTTGTCATCGGTAGCGCCGCCATTTTGGATGCAAAAAATACAAAAACAATTTTTCAGTGGACTTCAATGTATGCACTAACAACCCAGAGAGCACAAAGTCGTCTAAAAGATGACTAAAAGACAACTAAATTGTTATAAAGATATCTTTTAGTGAAAGAATATA